ACGATTAAAGGATTTCACGTACCCTGCAAACGTTGTACAACACCATCTCCCTCCCCCTCATGTGTCGTATATTATTCAGTACTTCGAGGCGTGCTTAAGTCGAATCAGAGTAACTCGAGTGTACTCGATAAGATGCGCGTAGCCCAGGCAAACGACCTGTACAACGTTGGAAATTGAAATTGCTGACCCGAAAGTTTAACGAGATGCCTGGGATAAAACAAATCACTCAGTTGACGTTTCCTCTTCAATCGTGGGAAAAAAAAAATTGTCGCAAGCAATGGAAACACCGAGGCGAGACGTTTCATTTAACCCAGACAATTTATTCTCCGTTATTTACGTTCACGCATTATTAGTGTTTCGATAATTAACACCCCCAATTAGAACCCATTTAAATGTACCCAATAAATCTTGGATAACCTCTCGCACCCTTCCGCAGTATAATTAATTATCCTCGTGATTCCAATGATATCGGTAATGACCATTCACATAATTACAAAATTTCCGATAAATTTCCGCTGATTTTCATTTAAAAACACCAACTGCGGCGCAAGAATTGTTTCTGCGACCCTGTTTTTTTCTGAAGGGGATGGATATACGCCCTTTTGTCACTCATAAAGAAAGAATTAGTCTATTATTGCAGGAATTTCTTCATAGTTTCCAACATATAAAATTCATTCCAAATTTCTTTTCTCACAACTGANAAAAAAAAAAAAAAAAAAAAAAAAAAAAAAAAAAAAAAAAAAAAAAAAAAAAAAAAAAAAAAAAAAAAAAAAAAAAAAAAAAAAAAAAAAAAAAAAAAAAAAAAAAAAAAAAAAAAAAAAAAAAAAAAAAAAAAAAAAGTTTGTGAACCAATGGTTGATTTTCGTTGCCCTTGGGGTAAAGCTTGTCTTTTACCTCAATATTGATCTCACAACCTCCAGGAATAATTTTGCCACATTAATTTTCCCCATTTGAATAAATTTAAAAAAAAGTTTGCGAATAATAGTTTGAAAACTTTTTTTTCAATTCTCCGTAATTTTTTCGACGCAGTTAATGGGGCTGCCCCCCTCCCACGGACCTCTCACTGCAATGCCCCTCCTCAAAGTGGATTAAAAAATTGTTAAAGAGAATTTTTAAAAAGTATTAATCGATGGTAATCGGTGAAGTGCGTCGTTGGGGCCAGTTGAATGTGCCACAGCCATTGGTTTACCAAAGGGGGTACAGTGCGTGTGTTGCCTGACAAACGCCTGTCTGTATCTTCCCCCTCACTCCCCCCTCCCGTCAGTTTACTCACCCTTGCCGCCTGCCCTCCGCACACTGTACGTTTTATCGCATCGATGGGCAATCAGTAACGAACGTGCAAACACTCAATTTCCCCGGGCTCAAATCAAAGCGCTTGGATATCGGGCGGCCAGTGGTTGGAACAATGCACATACCACCCTGTTTTACTTGCCACTGGATTGGCTAGCTTTAAACGTTTACAATTTTAATGTTCCGGGTTTGAAATCAATGAATATGATATCTTCTCGATGAATCGATTATTGGTACGATATTTCGATAAGAAAAAAAAATGGAGGCAATTTTATTTTCGAGTTTAAAATATTTCAACATTTTTTTTAATCAGCCAATGAAACAGAATGCATGAAATCTTTTTCATTCTGATTTTTTTTTCATAAAAAATGCTTTCAATGAAAAAAATTTTTTTTTCGGTTCAATTTCCCGAAATATTTTTTTTTTCGAGTTTAAAATATTTCAATTTTTTAAAAATGATTAATGAATAAAAGAATGCATGCAATTTTTTTAGGTGCCTTGATTTTTTTTCCGTAAAAAAATGCTTTCAATGAAACAAATTTTCTTTTCGTTTGAATTTCACGAGCAAAAAATTATAAAAATTTGTAAAATTGGAAAAAGGTTGGAAAATTCAACAAATAGTTTTGAAAAAAAAACAACCCGTCTTGTACTAAGATTAGAATTCACTTGTGGGCGAACTACACGCTTTTGCGTATGGCGGGAAATTTGAAATTAAAACCGCGAATTCTCCGATTTTTTTTTTTGACTTCAAATGATTTCAACAATTCTTTTTTGATCATTAGAAAATGTTTATGCACATTCATAAGTTTTCTTGTCCACAAGCTCTCACAAAAAAAAAACAATTAAAAAAAAAAAAATTTCAATTTGCAAAATTTAAAAAATACCGAAAAATTAGAAAAAAAAAGAAAAATCGACCGTTTTACCCCTACCCTTTCCAAGTCACTTGTGAACGAATTTCATGCTTCAACCAATGGCGGGAAATTTGAAATTGAAACCCCGGAAAATTCTCACAACTCAGATTTTAAGAGAATGATAATTCACTGTAAGTGATCTTTGAAGAGGTACTTGTATCAACTTGATATCTTAGAAAACTTTCCGCTGATACGCATAATCCACGTAACAAAGTTGACTCGGTTTTGAGTGGAGAAAAGGGGGG